GATGGCTTCGTGACCCCGAATTCGAGAACGATCAACTGGACATGGCTAAGCCGTTTCTAATGGGACCATTCAATTGCATTGGAAAGGTTTGAGCCCTCGATGCTTTCCTGGATACCTTGGGCTGACGTCAATTTCTAAGGATCTTGCTATGCATGAACTTCGATTGGTTAGTAACATACTCGTTACTTCAACGTACTGTTATTTACAGGCTGGCTGGTCATTCTCCCCAGCAACATATGCTAATTCTGTGTAGCTTTTGGCATCTCTGTTCCTGAACTTCGATGTCCGATTGACCCATGAATCTTTCGACTGGAATAAAATGAAGGTTTACACATTGTGGCAAAAGAAGCCTCTTTTATGCGAATTGCTGTCTGCGAAGACCAAATCCTAGATTATAAATTAGATGTTGCTCCGCTCAGCCTTTGGTTTATACTGATGCTAAACATGGTGTATGATACCCATCAGTGACACAGAAGCTGCTGAGTGACAACATCAAGATCCAAGGGCTGGCGGCTTGGGGAAAGGCTTGGAAGAGCTATCAGCTTTGACTCTGATAATCAACTTCCAATAACAGTTTTCTTCTATGCTACAATCACTCGATCTGGGATTTACTGCTGGATGAATATGTACCTACGTTGCAGCTACCCACTAGACTTAGACTTTTTATTGTGATCTTCTTCTCAGCCCTGATGAAGGATGGCAGATTTAAGGTTGAACATCATCCAGACGTAGCCCTTCATGCTTCTCGTCAAAGCTTGAGCATGCACCAGTCAAGATCTCGTCTACCAGTCTACATGGATGACTGGCACAGGTAGCCCCAGAAATGTTATACTTTGGCCACCTTGGGGAACGAAAGGTACGCAGAGCAGTCCTTGTATCTGAGATCCCGTAGCCTATACATGTATGGTCCGACAAAAGCTCCAGTAAATCATGAGAGTACATTTGCTTGGTTAAATGTCCCAGCAGTATCGCAGAACATTCATAGTTGCAGCCGACTGTGCCATTCCGTAACGAGTCAAGAAGATTTTGAAGCTGAGCAGCGACCGGACGTATCAGCTGTATCCTCTGAGTTTCGATTGTGTCTGTGATTGTCAATACCCATGTTGGATCGTTTGGCGCAGCATGAAAACATACCGATGAGGAATTGAGGGATGGGCAGCTCGAGCGTGGGAACAGGGCCTTTGCTTTCAAGAATGGCTGTTCTCGTGACTTGGTTGAAGATGTTCTCTTTTGAGAAAACCCAAGACACCAGTATCCACAAAACTAGCTCACGGTTGCACTGGGTAGGAAGGTCGTTTTTGATGCCGTCGATCCACATGTCTCCATACAGTTGAACAGCTTCGTGGCAATCATAGTAGTCAACCAAGGTTGCTATCTTGGCCAACATTTCGAGGTCCACGAAACGTGGAACATGACTGTGCTTTCCGTGTATGATTTGAAAAAGTATCACTAGAGCATCGACATCCCACTCCGTTGTCTCAATGTGTCGCACCCGCTCAACAGGATCTTTAAGAGATTCTTTCCAAGGGCCTGAAAGTTTCTTGTTGAAGATGGACGAGGCTAACATGAGATGTCGAGAGGAAAGAAGAAACCTGCACGGGGGCGGTTTGCCAAACCCGTCCATGTCGAAAGGGTTGTCGATGTTCAGCAGCTCCGGCGGGAAAATTGACACATGCTTCGCATTGTCGAACCAGTCAAGATAATACGACGAGTATTTTGCTATGATCGGAAGCCTTTGATCGCTGTAGTACATGTATTATCAGTCATTAGAGCATCCTAGCATTTCAAATACAAATAGCATACCATGCGTTCAGGTGCTGCACAACAGCATCTTCAGATTCATCCCAAACTGCGAAAGGCGCATTTGGGTTACGTAGAATGAGCTCGACATCGCCGTCGGGATCAAGTTGATGCACCTCTTCGCAATGCATACTGAGCAATGAGTCTATGCACAGGCATAGATTTGTAGAGTGAGATACAATCAAGAATCATCTGAATGGGAACAAAGTGGCAATATTTGTTGATATGGATGAGCTTTTTACATACCTACTAGGTAAGCCTGGCAGCGTTGGCGGGGATGAACTGCGGGCATGTGCCCAGCCTCAGGTGCCTGAGCACTTGGGTGACAGAATAAACGGACGACTTTTGAGCGCACCTTTTTGCTCTTACTATTTCATTACGCCCAACTTCAGAAAAACGATATTTATTAATACTGAGTTATTCTTCAGAGAGTAAGGTATTTGTTGAATATTCTTCAATCCTTTTCTTACCCCTCGTTACGGAAGTGTAAGTGTTGAAGTTAGGGGTAGCTCAGGAAGCGGCCCTTTTTTTGGTCACCCGAGTGCTGAGATACATCACGAGCTAGTGTTGTTAGCGTTGACCCCCTTCCTGTTAACCCTGCTGATTACCAGGCAACCAAGGTACCCTGCATTGGCTTTGTGGATGCCATCTGCAGGCAACAGCACTATGGGTAATAGTGTTTGAAATCCGCATTCTTTCCCATGGGAAAAAGCGCCTCCACTAATTTTTGGATCACAGGTAAAGCCATACCTATTCTGACATCAAGATTTCGACGGAGACCGATGAATGTCTGCGACGCGAATGAGCTCGGGAGTCTCTAGACTTTTGCTTCGCGAAATCCAAGTCAAAAGAATGAGCTGGAGCTAGAGGGAAACAATGTTATTTTCGTCATCTTTGTGTGCTTTTTTTCTTCTCTTTCCCTTGTTGATAACCGTGGAAGACAAGGTTCGCGGCGGTCATATCACGTCAATTCTAACCGTTGTTCCGCTATGCAACCAATGGCTTCTCCGACATATTGGAGCAACGTTGAAGGTGAAATATCGACGTACGAAAATTGAAGATGGGGGGAGAATGATTCAATAATCATCGTTGATTATGCTACGAATGAACAATTAAGTTTTCCGAGGCAGACTCAACCAGGCGCAATCTTGCTCCGCGGAGCTTGAATTGGTTCACCACGGGCAACTGGTGCCCGGCCCCGCAATGCCCCGCTTCCCGCGGTAAACCAATCGAGACTTTGAACTCTTATCACGAGAATAAATACTCAAGGTCGAAGAAGGCTTGATTTATCCCGTGCAACTCATTGAGACACTTTGCGCCTTCTCATAGAACATTAGAGCATCGATAACACTCTCCTCGTCATGGCTTCCGAAAGCACCGCGGCCTTCTGGGCCAAGACCGACAAGTATTTGATGTCTACGGGCGTGCCATACTCCCCTATCATCATCACCAAAGCCAAGGGAACCAAGCTGTACGACGCGGAGGGTCGCCAAATTTTGGACTTCACGTCCGGTCAAATGAGCTCGCTTTTGGGTCACTCTCATCCTGAAATCGTGGAGGTTGTCCAGAAGTATGTCGCTGAACTGGACCATCTGCTCAGCAACATGATCACACAGCCGGTCGCTGATCTCGCTGAGAGACTCGGCAAGCTTCTCCCCGCGCCTCTCGAGAAGGTGCGCAGGATTCAACCTTCATACATACTTGTGATAGTCGCTGACTCGGACCGCAGTCCTTTTTCCTCAACACCGGATCGGAGACAACGGAGGCCGCAATCAAGATGGCCAAGCTCCACACCGGCAAGTTCGAAATCGTCGCCATGTCCGCCAGCTACCACGGCCTCACATCCGGCTCCGGCTCCGCAACCTACTCCGCCGGCCGCAAGAACGGCGGCCCCGCCATGCCCGGCCAACTCGCTTTCCCCGCGCCCTACGCCTACCGCTCCATTTTCCGCAAGCCGGACGGGTCTTATGACTGGGAGACCGAGATGGATTTTGGTTGGTCAATGATTGACAGGCAAAGCGTCGGATCTTTGGCTGCGTTCATCATGGAGCCTATTCTCTCCACCGGCGGCATCCTCGATCTCCCCAAGGGCTACCTGAGACGCCTGCGCGACGAGTGCCATAAGCGCGGCATGCTTTTCATCCTTGACGAGGCGCAGACCGGCGTCGGACGTACGGGCCAGATGTTCGCCTTTGAGCACGACGATGCAGTCCCCGATATTCTCTGCCTGTCCAAGACTCTTGGTTGCGGTCTTCCCCTCGCGTCCGTCAGCACCACAGCGGACGTCGCGCAAGGGTGCAAGAACGCGAATTTCCTGTGGCTCACAACGCATCTCAACGATCCTCTGACAGCTGCTGTCGGTAATAAGGTTCTTGAGATTGTCGTGCGCGACAACATCTGCCAGAAGGCCACTGAGCGGGGTGAGCAGCTCCGCGCTGGCTTGCTGAAGCTCCAGGAGAAGTACTGGTGCATTGGGGACGTCCGCGGTCGTGGTCTCTTGCAGGGTATTGAAATCATTTCAGACGCGAAGACGAAGGCTCCTGGGTCGGAATTGGGGCAGGCTGTCTCTGACAGAGCGATGGAGCTGGGTCTGTCTTGCAACATTGTCAACTTGCCTGGTATGGGTGGCGTTTTCCGATTGGCGCCTCCTGTGACTGTTGCACCAGAGGATATTGACGAGGGACTGAGGATATTGGACGAAGCGTTTGGATACGTTTTGAGCCAGCGTGCGTGATGAATACATGTAAGGTTACGGAGAGTTCTTTTCGCGAAGCTCGTCGATCAGGTAGCATCAACCCACCACCATACCAATAATCCAAAATTCAAGACGACGTCAATAGTTACTGTATTGAAAATGACTCTGAGTGGTGGTCAAGACTTAATATTGATGGACTCATGGATGAGTTGAAGGCATGAATTGTGGAGACTGCGTTCATGACCGCGCTGTCAACAATCTGTCTTTCAAGTCAGTCATTTGAACATACTATCGGGAAACCCATGAAGGTGGGTGTTTTATACCTATTACAGAGAGAGAAAGAACCGATACAATCTTTAGCCCAGCTTAGATTGCTTCCACGTCGCTTGGTCGGCCATGGAGACCATCTGGTCGCAAGAAGTGGGCCCAACACCTCGTAGGGCTTGCAACCCTAGCAATGATCCATAATCTCAATTGCGACCTCGTAATTCAACAACAACCAGCGGCGGACATAGCTCAGTTGGGAGAGCGTCAGACTGAAGTTAACTTCAATCACTTAATCTGAAGGTCGTGTGTTCAATCCACACTGGCCGCATGGTATCTTTTTGGTACATTTTTGTTGCTTATCCAACATCTCTATCTATCTATCAATGGCTCCCTTTGCAATGTCCTCACCGTCCCGATCATACATGTTTAGGCAGGTACCTACCTAGCTGAGCATGTTATGTTTCTTCCTTTCTTTCCTACGTTCTAGTTGTATTGAATGTACTGGCCAGCGCACTACCTACTACGCCTTGCCTCCACTGCCACAAATATCGATCCACCTTTCAGTTTCCTTTTGCAATATCTCTATGCCGTCCTCAATCAGTTGCGTAAACGGCTTGTTTACGTTCTGCTTGAGATGGACGTTCCAGGCCTCTAGTAGCAGCTTGTTCACGTTCAGCTTGATCGCGCCGTTTTCGATGCAGCGCTTCATGATTTCAGGAGAGAAGTCGTTCGTTCCGTGCAGTGCCATCAACACGCGGTTGTCGATTTGCTTGTTGACCTTGGCAAGTCTCTCATAATCTAGCTGGGGACCTTTAGGACCGTAGTCGCCGTGGATGTTGCCGATGCTGGGGGCCAAAAGGTCGATTTCGGCATTGATGAAGTCCTCCACCTCCTCGGGGCTGGTAAAAAGAGCTACAAGAGCCAGTCAGCTAGGTGTTTCTTTCAAGGTTTGTCGAATCGTGCGTCTTACCCTCTAGGTCTCCGGTGTCCGCAATACCATCCTCGCCGCCGTTGATGCGTCCACTCTCGGCCTCAACCGCGATGCCGTGGTCGTGGCAGACGCGGGTGAGAACTTTAGTCTTGGCCAAATTCTCTTCGTGATCGTAGTGACTCATGTCAACCATGATAGAATCGAACGGCAAGTTGCCGGCAATTTCTCTGATCTGGTTCTCATCCTGGGCGTGGTCGAGGTGCAATGCGATTGGTACGCTGGATGACTTGATGGCTGCCGCTACGGCCCAAGCGAGAGTGGGGAGCTGCGTCACAGCTGAGGGGAACAGCAGAATCAGGATGGGGGATTTCTTTGCCTCGGCCGCTTTAACTACAGCAGTAAGCTGCTCGATGTTGTAGCTGGGCTATGATTAGACATTTTCAAGCTCTTATTAGACAACAACGAAGAGCTTACATGACGACACCGAGAACGCCATATTGCCCCTTGGTAGCAGCGTCGAGAATCTGCAGGGTGCGGTTTTGTGACTTTTTTTCGGACCAGGAACCCATTTTCAAGATAATTGGTGGATTGGATGTTGAGCTGCAATGCTACGATAGTCGTGTGCTATCTTAGACAAGGGGATATGAGGCTCTTATGTTCGAGCTTTTGTCATCGATGAGCTCCTCGCGTTTGCGAACTGCCCCGCGTCTCGAAGGACCCCGCGTCCGGCTTTCAGGCCGACCCCGTCATAGTGGGGTGAAAGATACGTACCTCTCTCGCATCGAGGTCGGCCCTCACAATCCGAGCCTTTTCACCGACTACTCGATGCGAAGACACCGGAAGCCTCTCAATACACACTCAAGGCCAATTCTTGAAAATCTTAGTATGGTCATTTTAATATTCATATAAACCTCTCATTGACCTTGGTCTCGGGTCTTCATCAATGTCTTCCTGTCATGAAATACAATTTCCCACATCATCGGCATTCTCGCCGATCATGCTCGGAGTTCCGGGGGAGCACGCCGAAAGGCCCAGGTTACAGTGGATGGTCGTGCCTAGAGACCAGACAAACTTACAACTCATCACGCGTGTTGATTGCTCTTTGAATAAGACTGTATTACCGTACTCCGCCAATTCCTGTCTGGATTATTTACTGGATTACAGTTGTGGCAATATGTGATGGCGACTCGACGCCTTTAAAAGAACAATTTATGATTAATACCCACCTCCCTCTGACTCCGTTGTGGAGTCCTCCATCCACAGGCTCAGGGCAGTTCGTGGCGGTTGGCAAGGTCGTCAGTCGGTACCTCATGAACTGGATCCTCGTATGGCGCCTCGAATACTTGGTTCGCTTCTGCTTCAGCCGCCCGTTGACTCTCCATGTAGTTCGGGGGCTTTGGGCTATAAGCGCGTTCGCGCTCGACTTCTTGGTACTGCGGTTCTTGGTCTGTGATAACGTTCTTGGGGGATCTCCTCTTTCGCCACAATAAAGCTGCAGTCCCCGCTAGAGCGATGCCACCGATAGCAGCTCCGATACCGATGCCCGCTGCCGCGCTTGACGAGAGACCGGCCCGCGAAATATCTCCGTTAGGACCAATGGGACCGTTAGGGCCGGTGGGAAACCCAGGTATAGGCGGAAAGAATGTGGGCTGCAAGAATTAGCGAGGTCCTTCATCACCCACTGCTTGAAGCTGCGCGAAGAATCACAGCTTACCTCCGACTGGTAAACAGTTGAGTAAACGCGGTTGTTGACAGGCCTATCGCTTGTCATAATCCATCGTTGGGCAGAGCTAGAACTGTTGTTGTCGCCGGTCCCTTCAACTTTGCTCGCCATAAATAGGTTGGAGCCTTGATGGACATCGAGAACACGGCCGGTCCCGTTTGCAGCGTTGAGAAAGTCGTATGTGCCGTCTCCCCTGTCGACAATGTCCCATAGCTGAGGGTCTTCCGCGTTCGTCCTTCGCATGCATCCAACTGTCTTGCCATCGTCTGTTTCATCGGAGTCCCAACACACGGAGAGCTGCTGTCGCACGCTTGTTGCATTCATCCTCATCACATATCGCCCCTTCTTGGACTCGACCGGCTCGAACTGCCACGCCATGAAGCGCTTCTCATCGCATGAAGATACTCTTGGGCCATCTCTTGTCAGTTGCAGACAGGAATCGATGGGCTGGGAAACGTTGACGTAGCGTTGTGAAGTGACGATATACCACGCATTCGAGTCTAGGTCCGCGGCCGACATTTGCGCAGAGATTCAGAAGGGATTGGGGAAATCGAAGATGGTTCAAACAAGCTCTTGGCAAATCTTCATCTGAATCGGTATGCGTCTGGTCAATAAGATTTTGAGTGATGCCCGAAAATGTCACCTCTCTAGACGCCTTTAAGATTAAACGATGTTGTCAAGTCGAAAAAGAAACAGAAGTGATAGACGATACGAAACTCGGGAGGGACATGGGGTACGGGCGAAATACTGTCATTCTAAAATTGGCGCTGTGACGCGCTGTCGAGTGGTTGAACCCCATACACAGACCGAATGAACGGCCTTTTGACACTCTTCACCTACGTAGGTCTCTGGTCAACGGAGAGAACCCGCTTGGCTGCAGCTGCGCACAGATACATCAACGGCCGAAGATGCGACGACTCTTGGTATCCCATACGGCAAACCTGCCCCGGAGGATTTTGCCGAGGTCTTGGTTTTGTCAATGCTGGTAGCACTTCATAGCTGCTTTCAGGTCACATAGCTCACCACTTTCGCCTTCCAAACCCTCATTGATCCGGCACGCAGCCGAGAAGATTGGACGAAACCGCTGAGATAAGGTGGCAACGTAGGAGAGTTAACGAGATGAACTGCGGTTCTGATGCATGTCTAGCCCGTAAATCCGGGGGATTTTCAGACGCAAAGAAAATGTATCAAAGTTGAGGATACCTGATACTGCTAAGAGATCGTTTTTTTTTTGTGGAAACGAATTGAATGCGCTGTCCACGGGTATCAGTCTATTTAATCAAAGTTGTTGCTGAACTGCTGCCATGTTGTTGAAGGTGTATCATTGTTAAAACGTAAACCAAAGTCACCATAATCTAGCCCGACTTAATTATTCTAGCTATCGATCATTGCATATATGAATCTTTTTGGGTTGACTCGATTTTGCTCTCGCTCTCTGGCACTGCGCAAGAGCCCGGCGTTTCTTTTAATTGGTGTCGGTTTCAAGAACCACGCCTTGAATTGCTTCGTTGTGAACCATTGAGCTATGATGGTGCGATTTTCTGTCAAATGAAGAAACCAACAAATTGCCACTTCTTATTTCCAACGTGAGGGAAGACAGATATTTAATCGGATTGCGGAACGACTTGCAAACCGCAGCTCAGCCTGACATCTGCAGCAAGTCACCCATCCACATTGCGTGTGACACGAGGTGACTTGCAGACGGATCGGCGACGCTAGATCCTCTTGGTCAGCTTCGGCCCGTCACCTGGTCAATAAAGCCACCAAAAATGCGACGGCGGCTGTGACTAAGATGGGTGTCTTCCGTCAGCCTCAATCAGCACCAACTGAAAGGGCGGGTGAGGCGTTTCTATTGTCCGCAGTCGTACGACGCGAAACTAAGACGGCAGTGTCTGAATTGAATGCGAAGTTTCAAAGAGTCTCAGTCGCTGTTCTCCTATTGAGGAAGCTGGAAGTCTTCCGTCTCACGCAGTTGAGAGTTGATCGGCACTTTTGCTGAGACTTCACAGGCACATATCTCACTAAAAACGCCTAACTGGTGGTCAACCTGCAGGCGAAGCTACCGGGGTTGGTCGCCCTGTTGGTCGATTGAGGTGCATAAGCAATAGGCGGCTGGCTGATGCCTACGCGACCGATGACCAAAATGGACCGGGGTGTTCATCAGCTCTGGGGCATATTTGCGCCGGCCATATCCGCTACAGGCGTAATTTCGTGACAGGCTTCAGCCTCTTCATTTTCTTGCTTATCCTCTCCTGCGACATATTGCGACGAGATAGATGTTCTGAAGAAACCAATGCATCATGGAGCCGTCAAAAGATTGGACACATGAGACGGAAATTGCGGCCCTAGATGAGGTCGCATCCGCTGTAGACGACAGCCCGGATCGCGTCCGACCGCGCGACTCTACCCTACACCAGACGTCAGAGGAGACACATTATGAACAACCGGAAACGCCACGGCCGCACAGCGGATCCTCGCACTGGGACCCGAGTCCTGGCTTCGCACATATCGATGGCGATGTAAATGGACCTGGCTACAATGATACCTTGGTTGACATTGTTTGCGTTCCGTGTCCCGGCGCCGATCCCGTCGAGACTTGGGCCCGCGACCCACTTCCGGAGGGATATTTCGGGAGACCCGGTGAGGATTTGCCGCCCACTGCCGTGAAGCAGCT